ACACATATATATATACACATATATATACACACATACACACACACACACACACACACACATATATATACATACATATATATATATATACACACACACACACACATACACACACACTGAGGAAATTGATTTCAATCCCCAAAAAACTCACACTCAAAAAAATATGTTCATCACTGAGGTGCTCTCTCTCACTCTCTCACTTTCCCCCCCTCTAATTTTAAAGAAAACAAATGAAACATCTATTACATCAACTTCAGCAGCAGTCCTTATGATTGATAATGCTAGACAGCTCAACCCACATGGGCAATCTTAGTTGGGTTATAGCCTTTTCTGTCCATCACTATGCTTCTGGAGATTATGCATACTGATAGGCAAATTAATTATAAAATCCTCAGAGAAATAAGTGGAAACATCATGCAGAAGATTTCCAGTGCATTCTCAATTTTTTATACATGTGATGAAGAAAAGCATAATGACAGCAAATAGAGATGGGCACAAATAGAAAAATGGTGATTTGTTTTGATTCGTGATTCATCAAGGTCAATGAATCATAAGTAATGAATTTACAATTTTTTTTCTGATGAATTGACAAATCAGTGCATCAACTTGTTTTTGCCTTTAAAACCCTATAAAACAGTCCCCTTCAAGCACCTGGAGGCACTAAAATCTCAGAGAACTTCCCCTGACTCTCCTCTATAAGCCCTGCAACTTTGGGGTGGATTGGGTTTCAGACATCCAAGTTATGCAACCACAAAGAGGGCTTCCAGGAAGGTTCCTGTCCCAGGCACCTAGAGATACCAAAATTATAGAGAAGCTTCCTTTGACTCTCCTCTACAAGCCCTGCAATGTTGGTGAAGATTGGGTTTCAGCCATCCAAGTTACAGACCCACAAAGTGGGTCCCTCCCTGCCAGGAAAGTGCCCTTTAGCAGCTGGTGCAGGGAAACCGAATCTTCACCAAACTTGGAGAGTTTGTAGAGGAGCGTTGGGGGAATCGTCTCTGCATTTTGGTGTCTCTAGATGCCTGGGGGGCCATTTTATATGATTAATCGATGAATCAAAAATTACTTTAAAAATTCATTGATTCACATTCATCGGGGGGGCATCGATTCAGGAGAATACAAATTGACAATTAGCCATTTTGATGAATTTTCCAATTCATTTTTTTATTTGTGCCCACCTCTAACAGCAAACATGGATGAGCTCATACATAACTACTTGATAAGCTACTCATCAGTATGGGGAGGAAAACTTTACTCCTCCCTTCTATCCATGAATTTCTCTACAGAAGGTATTCATTGCTCCTTATTAGCAGGACCATCCAGATAAATGACTTCAGCATGTGGCTGGATAACTGTTACAGTAAGTTCCTGTTCAGTACATGGTCGCAGCTTCTGTCAACCCTGTGAAAGGCTTTTCGTGTACAATAACCCACCTGTTTCTCTCTCATAGCCTTCTCATACTCAGCCTGGACAACATCAAGCTCAGCTTGCTTGGCATCTAACTCAGCTTGAGCTTTCTGTAGATCTAACATGGCATTTTTCAGACGGTTCTCCTGGACTGCCAGGTTAGCCTATAAAACACAGAATAAGTTTTTTAATGTCACTTACAGAACTATTTTTGTTTGTTTGCTTATTTTGGGGGCAAAATATTTCAACTCTCATTTGACAGAACAGAAGAAGAATAAGAAAAATACAACTGAGAGTACATTTAAACTATTAATAAATGCACAAGGAATGTGCCATGATAAATGTAATGCAACAAACTAATGATCTTGAGATGAGATAATGGTTTAGACACAGACTTTAAAGCCAGGTGTACATTTGCTGCTCAACATAGGAAACAACATTTTAAGACTTACAGCTCTCTGCAAATAGAAATGGTCTAGCCTGACGCCCTTTTCATTGAGCTAGTTTATAGCTGTTGAGAGGGTTATTCTTCTTTAGAGAAACATTTAAATATATATGGCTCCCCCTGCTCCCACAAAGTGAAGTCATAGAGTTCAGCATACCACCCGTTGACTCATTTCTCCATAGGTAGATTCAGCTAAAATTAAATGTATGCATATAATAAAGATATATAACATATTCAATATATCTCAGAAGAATGTGATAAATAACGAACGTCTTGAATAAGATATCTGAAGATGATAAGCAACAGGCGATCAATCCCTATTCTGGTCTGAATCTTGGCACATATAGGTGGGCTTACCTTTAAAGGTAAAACTTCCTTGTTGATAGCAAAGAAGGCAGACATTGCTTTGGTCCATGAGCAAAGACCAGCAACATTTCCACAAACCCTCCTTGCTGTCTCAATATTGTAGTCCCCCATTTCAAAGTAAGGGTTTAAAAGCTCCACCACTTCTTCATTGATCGTATCTTTAGGAAATTGCTAGAAAAATCATAATGATAGCATGATCAAGAATCAAACAAACACCTATTTATCATAGTAACTCTTTTGTGAACTCCTGCTCAAAAGGGAGGCATGCCAATGCGTAGACAAACCTTAGGTAGATCCATAGTGGATCTAGAATAGTATATGTAGAGAGCTCAGTTCGTTGTCCTGTCAACTGAATTAGTTCTTTTGTTAAAAGTTCTTTTGCTGAATTAGTTCTTTTGTTAAGCACTTAATTTCTATTGTAAGAACCATTGATAATGTGTCCTCCTTGTCAAGGTCACATTTTTCTAATGGCTAGGGAAGAAAAATCTTGATTTCATTATGCATAAGTGATGGTTGATGCTCCTAGGGTGATACAGGCATTAATTTGAGTTTGTTTCCATAAATAGCTAATTACATGACTGTTAGCCATTAGTACTATTCCATTGTCCTGATGTTTTGTTTTGTTTTCTCTCCTGTTCAAACCCCAATTAACTGCCCTGGTTAAATCTTTGCTCCTTTCTTTTAGTAGATCTAGCTTATTTTGTAAAGCAGTAAATGCTATTTTCAATTTAAGGTAATTGCCGAATTGGCTTTCTGAATCACCCCAAAGCTCTGTCTCTCTTATTGTGCTAGCTTTGCCATTGCTCTTGTTCAGTATTGTATCTAAGTTATTTTAAGTCCTTTGAATGTTACCCCTTGCTTCATAATGTGCGTTTTACATATGCTGTTAAGTTAACACAAATGATTGATTCTACAACACTGTGTAAATAAAAGTATGGCTATTTAATTTCTACAGCCACAGTCCTTAGAGGTATTCCAATTTAACAACTTGTTATTCAAGTAGGTCCTGTAGGAACTATTCAGGAGAAAGTACGCAATAGTGTACGATTCACAGAGATAAGGTCACATATTTAAAAGATTTGTTGTTATATGTCATCAGGTCATTTATGGCTGATGATAGCCTATGAATGAAAGACCTCCAAAATGTCTTGACATCAGTAGCCTCACTTAGCTCTTGCAAATTCAAGACTATGGCTGTCTTTATTGAGTAAGCTTCAGACCAAAATGGGCCTGGCGTGCTCTGGCCCATGGGGTCACAAATAGTTGGACATAACTAAACAACTAAACAACAATTGTTGAGACCTGATGATGTGGACAGGGTGCTTGGATCTGTCCGTTCTACCACCACTCCGCTCGACCCTTGCCCATCCTGGCTAATTGGAAGATCTGCCAGGGGGGTTCGCACCTGGGTCCAGGAGGCCGTGAATGCCTCTCTGAGAGAGGGAGTGGTCCCTACCGCCTTGAAAGAGGCGGTAATTCGACCACTCCTTAAAAAGCCTAACCTGGACCCAAGGCTGGTGGTCAACTACTCTGGTGTTGCAGAGAAGTGTGTTGACTACTTCCAGAGATATCGTCGATCTACACATGTGACTCCCAAGTCCTATTTGTCCTTTATTCAGGGATATAAAGCTATATACAGAGAAAAACATGCTGAGGTGCAGACTTTGGCCAACAGGTGATGTGTTCCCTTTGATGTTGTCATCTTCCATTTCTCTTCCCCCAATAGGAATGAATAATAGTCAATTCCCAATGTTAATTCTCTTTGGTATACTTTGAGAACTATACTCAGGGTCAGATTAGAAAATCTACATGTCTGCCTAACCTGGACCCAAGGCTGGTGGTCAACTACCGACCAGTGGCGAACCTCCCTTATTTGGGCAAGGTGTTGGAGCGGGTTGTGGCCGGGCAACTCCAGGCGCTGCTGGATGAAACGGATTTTCTGGATCCATTTCAATCGGGTTTCAGGCCGGGTTTTGGTACAGAGACTGCCTTGGTCGCCCTGTACGATGACCTTTGCCGGGAGAGAGACAGGGGGAGTGTGACCCTGTTGATACTCCTGGACCTCTCAGCGGCTTTCGACACCATCGGCCATGGTGTCCTTCTGGCTGGGTTGGGAGTTGGGGGCATCGTTTTACGGTGGTTCTGCTCCTTCCTGGCTGACCGTGTCCAGAGGGTGGTGCTGGGGGACAGTTGCTCTGCCCCATGGCAGTTATGTCATGGGGTTCCTCAGGGCTCAATACTGTCCCCCATGCTGTTCAACATCTACATGAAACCGCTGGGAGAGGGCATCAGGAGGTTTGGGCTGAGGAGTCAGCAATATGCTGACGATACTCAGCTCTACCTCTCGTTTTCCACCAATCCAGGTGAGGCAGTTTCTGTGCTGAACTCGTGTCTGGACCTGATAATGGACTGGATGAGGGTTAATAAATTGAAACTCAATCCAGACAAGACGGAAGTGCTGTTAGTGGGTGCTTCGCCAGACAGGCTGGAGGGCCATCTCCCTGCCCTGAATGGGGTTACACTCCCCCTAAGGGACAGGGTCCGCAGCCTGGGGGTGCTCCTGGACCCCAGTCTAACACTGGAAGCCCAGGTGGACTCGGTGGCCAGAGGCGCCTTCCTTCAGCTGCGGAAATTATACCAGCTACGGCCCTACCTGGACGAGCGGAGTCTCATGACAGTCACACATGCACTGGTAACATCCCGCATAGATTACTGCAATGCGCTTTACGTGGGGCTGCCTTTGAAGACGGTCCAGCGACTGCAACTGGTCCAGAATCGAGCTGCGCGGCTGGTGAGTGGTGCAGCTGCCACGGAACATATCAAGCCGATTCTGTATAAGTTACATTGGCTACCAGTTGCTGCCCGGGCCCAATTCAAAGTGATTGTTTTGACATATAAAGCCCTAAACGGCTGGGGCCCTGGATACCTGAAGGACCGCCTCCGTCCATATGAACCTACCCGGCAGTTAAGATCTAGCCAGGGGGCCCTTTTGAAAGAGCCATCCCTCAAAGAGGTAAGAGGGATGGCTTGTAGACAAAGGGCCTTTTCGGCAGCTGCCCCCAGACTATGGAACGCCCTCCCAACTGAAATCCGTCTGGCGCCGACGTTGATGACATTTCGGCGCCAGGTCAAAACCTTCCTGTTCCAGAAGGCTTTTAATTGAAATAATATTAGCTGTGGGTCTGATGGCAATTTTAATTGTATTTTAATTGTATTTTAATTATTTTATCTTTTGCTGTATTGAATTTTAATTATTGTAAGCCGCCCAGAGACCTCTGGGTAGTTTGGGCGGCATATAAATTGAATAAATAATAAATAAATAAATAAATAACAACAAGGACCAAGATAAACTGGAATTTTCTTTGTGTCTGAATACCTGAACAACAATACAATACATTAAAATAACTACTAATCACTCAGAATTAATTGGTCATTATAACAAGGCTAGGGATAGGGAGTGTGTCAGATATTCAGATATTGTTAAACTCCTCCTGTCCTTCCTTACTCTTGGATATGAGGGGCAGGAATGGTAGAAAATTCCACTCCTTCACATGTGGACAACCATATTTACCAACTAATGTCCCAGAATTTGTATCTGCAAATACAACACTACCTCCCTCATGTTTCAGAGCCAAACATTTGTATATATGTGACCGCTGGCCATGCTGGAAGGATTCCAGGAGCTATGATTTTTAAGCACCTTTTCTAAGTTACACATAGACATATCCACCTAGTCACTGACTTGTCTTTGACAGAGATCATATTCCCATTCAGGGGGGAGGAGGGGGAGGTGTAAGCACACTGGCTCCAAATAGTGACTTTCAGACACACATGTATGCACAAATACAAGCAAAGGGCCCTTTAACTTTCATCCTCCCACCAGGAGCATAAGCAAAAGTTTTGACAGTTCATCTGAACACAACAGCTTCTCCCTCCCATTTCCTTCCCTAGCCACATGTGTAGGAATGAACAGAAGAAGTGTGAATCAAAGGGGAGGAATCTGCCAGAACCTTTCTTGGGATCCACACAGCTAGGGAGACAGACAGAATGGGCTGAAAATCCCTTATTCTATGTTTAAGCCCAGAAGGACATGGTGCATACATTACAGTATTAGTGCATAGAAATGCTTTGCTAGGGGCCAGGTAGGAACATCTTGGGGAGACAGACCTGGACTCCAGTTTTTTTCCCCTATTTGCTTCCAAGAACTCACTCAATGTCTCTCCTTCCTATCTTGTTCTGGCCCATGCAGGTTTTTTTTAAAAAAATTCATCCTTGCTTTTAACACACCTGTAGGTTCTGCAAGAAGTTTCCTGCTGTCATCAGTTTCAAGGATTCCTGCCATGATGGAATGGCACAATTCTTCTCTGTGTCTACTTTGACAGCATTTACCTTCCTTTGGAAGAGCAGCAGCACACAGTCCATGATGCGCATAATAAGGTGAGGTGGTCGGCCCAATGTGCGGACAGTGGCAATGTCTGCAGGTTTGATAGTCTAGGTTTTGGGGAAAAGAACAGAATCAGGTGGTGTCACCAACATCAACTGATTTAACTTCTTGACATGTTTGGGCAATCTAGAATTAAGTTATCATTATGAGCCATGCAGTTGCTTCCAATTTATGGTAACCGTGACAGAGTTTTCCAAGTATGTGAGATGTTCAAGGAGTGATTTACCATTGCTACTCCACTTTCTCCACTATGTGTCCGTGGCAGAGCAGAGACTCTCCAGAGTCCTCACCTGACATTCTAGCCAATACACCACATTGGTTCTCAGTAGAATTAAGTTAGCCACTGAGAAACGTTTATCTACTTGCTGCCAAAAATGCCTCTGAATTGTTACAAGAAATATCAAAATTTTAATCATAATATAAAGAAATCATTTACAGGGCTGTTGATTTCCTCCTGAAACTGCTCTCCCCACCAGGTGCTCGTTGATGTTAAGGTGGTGCCCATGCTTGGTTGCAAATTGTGCCAAGCAAGACTATAAAACAAAGACAACATCTTCCTCCAAGCACTATTAAATTAGATGCAACTGGCTTATCTAATGGGTAAACTAAATTTTATCCAGATTTCTCTGATAAGAGGTTTGCCACATTTCAACATTGTCCCAGGCCCCCACCAAAGAAAATAAACTTTTGTTTCGATGTAATGCAATAGAGGAGGAAATGCTGAATTTCCAGCAGCCTTTTGTCTGGCAGGTTTTGGGACAATTCAGGCAACATAACTAGATGTTGAATTTAAAATCAGCTCTTTTGGCTTTCCATTACAACTCTTGTTTTAAAACTGCCATAGATGTCTAGCCATGATTTTTGGAATTCCTGTATTTTTTTTTTCTGCACCATCCACAAAAAAGTGGTAATTTACCCTGATGAAGGCCCCTATGGTCCAAAAGCTAATGTTTGTTTGTATTTTGTTTTTGTTTTGCAGCCTAATAGAGGTATCCACTGTTCTTTCCTTTGCCTTATATACAAGAAATACACCGTTCCTACGTACACACTTTTTCTGGGAACTGGAAGTTGGTTTTTTTACTTTTCCAGGGCTGGCGTGACTTTTGGTGGTTGGGGGCCTGCAAACTGGCTCCTGCCTCCTCTAAAGTTGTTTAATCCAGCCCTGAGGAGTTCTGCCATGCAGGCTCAGTGATGATCCTGCATTCAAATATATTAATACATTCTGTTTGTTTCACCCCGATGGGAAAGCAGTTGAAGAAGTACTGAGGCCTATGCCCCATCATCTGCTGAGTACCATTCTGAAGGATAGAACATCTAACTCAGGGCTGAAGAATTATTCACTTATCAAGCAATAACCTGCAAAGCAGCCTCCGCCTCTTCTAAAGCAGGTTTGGCTGCCTCTAATTTTTCTTCGGCGATAGCCTTGTCTGCGGAGATGCTGTCTACAATCGCCTGAGCCTTGTCTTTCACCTTTTGCACTTCTGCCTTCACCTTTTCAGCAGCCTGCGCTTTCACTGTGACCTCTTTTAGCACCTATTGAGGAAACCAAACACCAGAGATGAGAAAGGAAATTACATGGAAAGATGTTGGTAAATACTGTAGAAACGCTCCATGTGTGTGTGCAAGCATGTGGAAAATACATCATTTTTTCATTAATGAGCCAAACTTCGAATGATAGCTATGAAAAGCAATTCTTGGTATTAAACATCAGAAATTGGGAGGCACGTTTATTGCTCTTAACACAGAAAACACCTAATCTCCTGAATTACCTGCATTAATTTATTAACAAAATCATTCATTCTGAAGTAAAGAGGAGTGATTAGAGAGCTGCTCCACAGTTGACCCCACTGGAACATTTGTTATTGGCTCCTTCAATTGTGCTCTTTTTGTCACTCTCAACTGCCTTCTCCAGTCTGGCATTTTTTTTTTCTAGGCAGACCACAAATTTCATGATCCATTTGTTAGCTGGCAATGATAGGATCTGATGGGCCTGAAAACTGTGAGGCAAGGAAAGGCCATCTCATCTCCCTACCTCTAGGAGAAAACACACACACACACACACAATACACACATACACATGCAGTTATATATACTGTACATATACACTAATACACACCAGAAACAACACTTGCTCTATATAGAAGCACTAATTTCATAAGCCACTTTCATACAGACATCTTCAGCCTAACACTACAAAAGCTATTACTGAAAGCAAAGTGAATGTTTAAAAACAGCTTCCCAACTCCTTTAACTTCTCCCATGTCAGCATGGGAGCTCTGTATACTTCCAATGGCTTGGGGCCCCAGATGTTCTTAGATGGCAACTCCCAGAAACTCTATCATTGCTCACATTGGCTAGGATGTTTGGGTGTTCCAGTCCACGAACACCTAGAGGGCTGAGTGTGGGAGCCATTGCTTACAGGGTCAAACTGAGTGTTTCCCCCTTTAGGGAGAGGAATATGCACACATGTGACCTCTGCAGAAGGCTAACAATGACCAATGATGTCTAATGAGCAAACACGTTAACATTGCATTATAAACATTTTTCACATAAGCATTGTTGTTTATTTGTGACTCTTTTGCACATTGTAAAAAAAGTAACATTTAACACTCATGTAATAAAATCAACAGATCATTCTCAAACTCTGTTTATAGGTTATCAAAGAATATTTCAGTAATTTAGTCATGTGAAATCCACAGTCTATATTCTGCAGGACCTTTCTGTTAGCTAAAGAATAGGAACAAAAATTATTCTTACCATATCAGCTTTTTCATTGGCAACCTGGAGCTCTTTTTCCTTAGCTTCCAGCTCTTTGCTCAAAGCAGCCACTGATTCAGAGGCTTCTTTCAGTTTCTCCAGTCCAGTATTCATTCTACAAAGTTATACATTTTTTAAAAAAGCAAAAAGCCAGTTAAGAGGGGAGGTTCCATCAAATTTCACATCTGGGGACATAATAACAGCAGAAGATGGAGGGGAGAGGAAGAAATGCACAGAATCTCTCTCTGGCAAAAATGCTGTTGCTTAGCACAGTAAATTGCATTAGAGTGGGCATGTGAAGGAAATGAGAAACCATGGAGAATAGACTATAGAACCCATCTGTTACAATTTTCAAGGCTTCTGAGTGCCTGGGAAAACTAACTGGAAAGATATGAGGCAGTATGTCCCCAGAACAAAATGGCAATTGATACCTTCAGGTGACCTCCTGTTAAAGAGGACTTCACAGAAGGACTGAGAGGGAACTGACACCTCCAAGTTAATCTTTTATCAGACAGGACATCAAAAGTCTGTCTACTTCTTTCCCCAGAGTGACACAAATTAAAACTGTGGGAAAAGAAGGGGGGAGGGATATGTTCTGGTTTGGGGAAACAAGAAAGAGGATTAAGATGTTTGTTACTACAGGTTTGGAACAGCTCATTTAATGTATTAAAGTGATCAGGAAAACTGGTTAGATAGCATAGGTTGCCTTTAAGGAAGGGCTTTGCTCATGTGCCACTGTCCTACAAAGTCATGTGGGGAAGGATGCCCTCTGTGCATATCCCAGATCTATGCTACTGCTCCACTAAGGTATAAGTATTAGGTAGTTTAGCTTAGTTCTTGCAGTTTCTTGGTGTGTTTCTTTTGAATGACCATAAAACTGTCACTATATTTTACACCAGCATTTTGAGAACACTTTTTGTAACTTTTTTGGAACATTTGCCTCTTGTCCTTTTAAACTTTCCCCTTTCTTTTAACAAAATACAAAATTCTTTCAAATAAATGTCTGGATTTTTGTTGTAAAGAATTTGTGATATAAAAACCCAGTCTTGCCATGATCAAGCTACTGGACAGTTTTAATATTTGTGTGGGTGCGGTGGCAGCTACTTTGCAAGGCTGAAATGTGTACTAAGTGCCTAGTTTTGTTAACTTTGTTTTGAACACCCTGGAAGCATTGCCAGGTCTGAGTGGATGGTAATGTGTGGGACTGCTACAGGTCCATCCAGGTTTCATAGACTCCTCTCCAGCTATCTTTTCCCTAGGTTCACCCACCTCAGGACAAAAAGGGCAGTGTTACTGAGGGGCTATTGAGGAAGGTCTTGTTCAAGTAACCATCACAAGACCCACTGAATCAATGGGGATTTAGTGAGTCAACTCCTTCATAAAGTTCCATTGATTCAAATGGACCCATTCTAACTGCAATTTAATTTAACACAGTAAGTTGCTGTAAGAGTAGACCCATTTGAAACAATGGAACTTTCAGGGAGCTGACTCAACAAATCTCCGTTTAATGGGTCTATTTTAGTATTATTTGCTACTCCAAGCAACAGGATTCCGGCCTCTCTTTCTCATGCTTACACACATGCACAAAGAGAGAGAAACCCTTTCTTTCTTTTGCAACAGTTTAGCATTACAGTGGTGCCTCGCACAACGATTGCTTCATACAACGATAAATTCACACAGCGATGGGTTTCTTTGAGGAATTTCCCCCATCGTTTAACGATGTTCTCTATGGGGGAATTTCACTTAACAATGTCCCTTTTTCGCTCCTGTAAAAGTGTCTTAAACTGTTAGAAACCTGTTTTAAATGCTTGCAATCATTAGCCCACCTCCTGAACCCTATGCAAACTTAATTTGGTGTTGTTCTGAGTCGTTATTAATTTTTGGTGATTTTTTAAATTTTCCATTGAAAGCCTTTGAATGGTCCGTTCAAAGGCTTTCAATGGAGAAAACAAAAAATCACCAAAAATTAACGACGACTCAGAACAACACCAAATTAAGTTTGCATAGGGTTCAGGAGGTGGGCTAATGATTGCAAGCATTAATCTGTTCCAATTGGAACGGATTAACCGGTTTTCAATGCATTCCTATGGGAAATGGTGTTTCACTTAACAATGTTTTCACATAACGATTTTTTTAATGGAACCAATTAACATCGTTAAGCGAGGCACCACTGTACTACCATCAAATGTGCAAACTGGAATATATTAGCAACTGCACCTAAAGTTGCACTTGTTAATTTAGTCATCAAATACACATTAAAATGGAAAGGAAAAACAGAGTAATGCTATATTCTTTTCCCCAGATAATTTTACTTCTAGCCACTGAAAACATCTGAGGTTTCTTCCCCTCACACCCAAAAAACCCCTCAAGTAAAAGGAAAGTTCAATGGAAAAATGGACCACAGGGGGGAAATTAAGTGCTTTCCCTGCCATGAAGCATTTCTTCTCTCCAAATTATTTCTCCCTGAACTATTTTATTTATTTATTTATTTATCTTTACTTCTATGAAAACATCTGAGGTTTCTTCCCCCCACACCCAAAAAACCCCTCAAGTAAAAGGAAAGTTCAATGGAAAAATGGACCACAGGGGGGAAATTAAGTGCTTTCCCTGCCATGCCATGA